GACCAGGTTGTCAAGGGGGGGGCGGTTGGGGGCGACCAGGCAGGCAGGTGAGCGATTAGGAGCCAGCAGTCCAGAATTGTGAGAGGGATGTCCCGGATTGGAGAGGGTGCAGGCTGGGCTGCGGGGACCCCCCACTCGTGCATGAATTTTGTGCACTGGGCCTCTAGTAAAATAATAAAATAAAATAAAATAAAATAAAATAAAAAATAGAATAAAATAATGATGCCAAGCGATAGTTGCTCTCTGTCTCCTTGCTGGCCTCTGGCCACATCATGGTGGATCGGAACAATTCACTTCCTGCTCTACTCCACCCACAGCCGCTCTGCTTAGCCTCAGCGACCACGTCTTTAAGTCTCATCCTTCTGGGGCCTTTGACTTGCCCTAAGGGTTCGCAGACGACAGATCAATTGACTTGTTCACTCCACAAACCACCGGTTGGAGTTGTAGGTCCCGGGATGCGGAGTTCTCAGTGCCCCTACCTCCTGTGAGTCCCAAGGGTTCTCGGGAGCCTGTGCCGGGCAACCACCCCACTCCTGCCACTGACTCCTGCTGTGACCAGAGTTGAAGAGAACAGGTTGTGTAATCGCTCAGCTCTCTGGGCTTTTCTGCATCCCTGGGCCAGGAATTGCAGTTCTGTTGAGAATTCTTTGCACGTCTGTTCGGGTATTTTATGGTTACCAGCTCCCGAGTCTATTCTGCCCAGCGGCTCTGCATGGTCTCAGTGAATGAATGACATTGGTCTTTGAGCCTGGTTCCTGGCACAGCTCATAAAACCATTAGCATTTCCTGAGTAATAAGGATGATAGGAGTGCTTATTTTTTGATAAGGGGACTCTAAGTAGCTTTAGGATGGGGTGAGGTCAACAGAAAAACCAAGCCGTGGTTGAAAGACTGGAACTTTCAGCCCCACCCCTCAACCTTGGGGAAGGGGAGCTGGACAAAATTCAACTTAATCACTAACCGTTGATGATTTAATCATTCACGTGCACATGATGACACCTCCATAAACACCCCAACAATGGGCTCAGAGAGCCTCTGCCTTGGCACACACATCCTGAGCCTGGAGGTTGTGCACCCCAGCTCCACCAGGACCGAGCCCGGTGCAGGGCCCTTCTGAATCAACACCCTCAGTACCTCTCCTGACTGTGCGTCATCATTACAAACGGCAGGCAAGGGCCTTGCTGAGTTCAGTGGGCCATTCCAGCCAGTTCTCAACGCTGCGGAGGGGGTCACGAGAACCCCAATTTATAGCTGGTCAGTCAGAGTATGAATGGCCCGGGACTGTTTGCTTGCTTTGTTAATCCTCACCTGAGGATATTTTTCCAGTGATTTTCTTTTCTTTTCTTTTTTTTTTTAGAAAGAGTGTAAGGGAGGGAGAGAGACAGACAGAGAGAAACATCGATATGAGAGACACATCGATTGGTTGCCTCGCACACAGATCCTGCAACCAAGGTATGTGCCCTTGACCAGAACCGAACCGATACCCTCAGTCCTCGGGCCTACACTCTATCACCCCGGCTAGGGCGGCCTGGGACTTTTGATCAATGTTTGAAGTTGGGGACAGTCTTGTGGAACGGGACTCTTTGACCCGTGGGATCTGATACGAACTCTAGGTAGATAGGGTCAGAATTGAATTGAATTGTTGGACACCCAGTTGGTATCAGGAGGGGAAAAGAATCCTCTCATGTGCCAACTGCCTTCTGAGCCTTTTAGTAAAAACTCTCAAGATAAAGAATGGGCCAGGTCATCTTACAGAGCCATAGGCCACAGCCAATGATGGAGGAGCCGCCGTGGAGACAGCCGCGTGTCCACCTCACGCTCCGTCTGCTGTGTCCGGAGGGCGGGCAGGCCACGCGGTTCATTCCGGGTGGGCCTGGCAGTTTCCCTTCAGAGGGGATGTAGGCGGCAGGGCGTGCGAAGACAGGCGTCTCTAGAAGTGGGATCCCCAGCACATAGAGGTTCATATACATGCGCTCACGTATACAGACACCCACATATGTATCCTCACAGGCTATAAACACACAAGTAAACATACACTAGAGATGCACATAATGGCTGTCCACTCACATCTGTACACTCACATGTACACACGGCCACGTGTTCCCAACCACCGTCACGCGCTCTGTGTGTTACACACACATGTATGTGAAAGGTTCGGAGTGGGCCTGGGTTGTGCACCTATGACCTGAGGCCATAATGTATCAAAAGAAATTTAATTCCAGGCACCTAGGTGCAGGTGGGCCGAGTCTGAGAAGGGAATCGGCGGAGAGGGAAGGGAGAGAGAGGTTTTATTAGTCCTTCTGGCTGCAAGCCGCTCTGCTGAGGGGAGGGGCGGGGCCGGTCCATCCTCGGCTCCTCCCTGGGCCAGCTGTCTAGTCATCTGGGCTGTGCGGCGCTCAAGGCTGCAAGCTTTCTGCAAGATGTCCGCTGAGCACAATAAGTGTTCTCTGACCCGTTTCATTCTCTTCAACCCTTTCAGAGTACACAATAAACACATACCCGTACAATGCAATGCACACATGTCCGTTTGTATACACAACTAGAGGCCCAGTGCATGGATTCGTGCACTGGTGGGGTCCCTCAGCCTGGCCTGCGCCCTCTTGCAATCCAGGACCCCTCAGGGGATGTCAGGCTGCCGGTTTCAGCCTGATCCCCGCAGGCTGTCGGTAGCTCAGCCGCAGAGGCAGAGGCAGGCAAGGCTCGCGCTGCAACAGCAGCACTCGCCAGCCATGAGCCCAGCCTCTGGCACCCAACAGCCCTCCTGCTATGGGAGCACACTGACCACCAGGGGGCAGCTCCTGTGTTGAGCATCTGCCCCCTGGTGGTCAGTGCGCATCATAGCTACTGGCTGGTCATCTGGTCGCTTAGACTTTTATATATATAGACTAGAGCCCGGTGCACAAAAATGTGTGCACTCAGGGGGTGGGGGAGAGGATGGTGCCTCAGCCTGGCCTGTGCCCTCTTGCAGTCTGGGACTCCTCGGGGGATGACCACCTGCTGGCTTAGGCCTGCTCCCTGGGGGATTGGGCCTAAGCTGGCAATCAGACATCCCTCTGGCAGCCCGGCAGCCCTCGGGGGATGTCCACTTGCCAGTGGGGAGCAGGCCTAAGCTGCAGTCAGACATCCTTAGCGCTGCTGAGGAGGCAGGAGGGGCTCCCACCACCACCGCTGTACTGGCAGCCATCAGCCTGGCTTGTGGCTAAGCAGAGCTCCCCATGTGGGAGTGCACTGACCACCAGAGGGCAGCTCCTGCATTGAGCATCTGCCCCCTGGTGGTCAGTGTGTGTCATAGTGACCAGTCAACCAGTCATTCCAGTCATTCTGCTGTTAGGGTCAGTTTGCATATTACCCTTTTATTATATAGGATAGAGGCCTGGTGCACAGGTGGGGGTTGGCTGGTTTGTCCCGAAGGGTGTCCCGGATCAGGGTGGGGGTCCCGCTTGGGTGCCTGGCCAGCCTGGGTGAGGGGCTGATGGCTGTTTGCAGCTGGTCACACCCCCTTCATGGTGGGGGTTCCCACTGGGGTGCCTGGCCAGCATCGATGAGGGGCTAATGGCTGTTTTCAGGCTGGACACACCCCCTTTAGGTTGGGGGTCCCCACTGGGGTGCCTAGCCAGTCTGGGTGAGGGGCTGAAGGCCGTTTCAGGCTGGCCGGCGACTGAAGCTCCCAGCCTCTCCTTTTTTTCTTTTTTTTTTTAAATTCTAGGATTCATTTACCTTCTATAATTTAAACTTTGTTGCTGTCACTGGAGCTGAGAGCCGGTTCCTGCTCGCTCCAGCTCTGAGGCCATGGCCTGCTGAAAGCAGGTATCTGGGGTTTGTTTAGCTTTTATAATTGAAACTTTGTTGCCATCACTGGAGCTAAGAGCCAGCTCCTGCTCACTCCAGCTCTGTGGCCATGGCCTGCTGAAAGCAGGTATCTGGGGTTTGTTTAGCTTCTATAATTGAAACTTTGTTGCTTTCAGAACTCAGAGCCAGGCCACGGCAGGCGGGGAACCTTGGCTTCCTCCATTACTGGAGCAAGCAAGCCTCCTGCTCGCTTCAGCTGTGTGGCTGCCGACCGCCATTTTGGTTGGGTTAATTTGCATATCGTGCTGATTAGCCAATGGGGGCGTCGCGAAGGTACGGTCAATTACCATGTTTGTCTATTATTAGATAGGATGTTAGAAACCCAGATACACACACACACACACACACACACACACACTATATCTACACATGCACACACACATGTGTATTCATACAGTGAACATACCATGCACACACACACAATGCATACGTATCCACGTGTGTAAACACACACACAACACACACATACACACATAACACACTCTAAAGACAAACCCGAAAACACATATCTGAGTATTTACACTCATTTACATGCGCACAAAAGGTAAACCCACCCCAGCCGGTTTGGCTTAGTGGATAGAGCATTGGCCTGCAGACTGAAGGGTTCCAGGTTCGATTCTGGTCAAGGGCACATGCCTAGATAGTAGGCTCGATCCCCAGTTGGGGGTGTGCAGGAGGCAGCCGATCGATGATTCTCTCTCATCATTGATGTTTCTCTCTCTTCCTCTCCCTTCCTCTCAGAAATCAATATATATATATATGTATACTAGAAGCCCGTTGCATGAAGATTCACACAATAGGCCTTCCTTCCCCTGGCTGCCGGCACCGGTTTGCACCCGGGACCCAGGCCTTTGGTCCGGTCACAGCGGAGAAGCCAAGCCTCTTCAGTCTTCAGTCTTCGCTCTGGCAGGAGCCTTCAGTTTTTGCTCTACGCCTGCATATGCAAATTAACTGCCATCTTTGTTGGGTTAATTTGCATACTCACCTGATTGGCTGGTGGGCATAAGGGAGTGACACCAATTTGCATGTTTCTCTTTTATTAGTGTAGATATAGTAAACCCACAGGCACACCCACCCACCCATGTCTGCGCACACAACCCCACACCAGGCGCACGCAGCCCTGCTAACTTCCCTGCTCTCCCGCCCACAGCCATGCCCAGCACCCAGGGGCCCTTCTTCTTCCCCATGGCCCACTTCGTCCTCTTTGTCTTCACGGCCTCCACCATCTTTCACCTTCAGCAGCGGCTAGTGAAGATCCAGCCCCCGTTGGCAGCCCAGAGGCTGGAGCCCGCGGAAACCAAGGACAATGCCTCCAGCGCCCCGAGCTCCCCAAGCTCCGGGCCCAGGGGCATGTGGACCATCAACTCCCAAGGCCGCCTGGGCAACCAGATGGGCGAGTACGCCACGCTGTACGCCCTGGCCAAGATGAACGGGCGGCCGGCCTTCATCCCCGCCCAGATGCACAGCGCGCTGGCGCCCATCTTCAGGATCTCCCTGCCGGTGCTGCACGGCACCACGGCCAGCAGGATCCCCTGGCGCAACTATCACCTCAACGACTGGATGGAGGAGCAGTACCGCCACCTCCCCTGGGAGTACGTGCGCCTCACGGGCTACCCCTGCTCCTGGACCTTCTACCACCACCTGCGCCCCGAGATCCTGCGGGAGTTCACGCTGCACGACCACGTGCGGGAGGAGGCGCAGACGTACCTGCGGGGCCTGCGCGTGAACGGGAGCCGGCCGGCCACCTTCGTGGGCGTCCATGTGCGCCGTGGGGACTATGTCCACGTCATGCCCAACGTGTGGAAGGGCGTGGTAGCCGACCGCGGGTACCTGCGACAGGCCCTGGACTGGTTCCGGGCCCGCCACCCCGCCCCCGTCTTCGTGGTCACCAGCAACGGCATGGCCTGGTGCCGGGAGAACATCGACGCGTCCCAGGGGGACGTGGTGTTCGCGGGCGACGGCGTGGAGGGCTCCCCCGCCAAGGACTTCGCGCTGCTCACTCAGTGCAACCACACGGTCATGACCATCGGCACCTTCGGGATCTGGGCCGCCTACCTGGCGGGCGGAGAGACCGTCTACCTGGCCAACTACACCCTCCCGGACTCGCCCTTCCTCAAAGTCTTCAAGCCAGAGGCGGCCTTCCTGCCCGAGTGGGTCGGGATTGCGGCCGACCTTTCCCCGCTGCTCAAGCCCTGAGACCGGCCTGCCCTGGGCACCCCCTTCTCCTTGTCGGGCTCCCCCAAGACCAGACCCACGCACGAGGAGCACCCTGTTACATGGACCAGCACCCTTCCCTCTTGCCTCAGAATACCTCCGGCCGCCAGTAGCAGAGTCCCAACAAACTTGTTTATCTTTTTTATTTATTTTTTAAAAATTTATTGTATTGATTTTTTTTACAGAGAGGAAAGGAGAGGGGTAGAGAAGTTAGAAACATCCATGAGAGAGAAACATCGATCAGCTGCCTCCTGCACATCCCCTACTGCGGATGTGCCCGCAACCAAGGTACATGCCCTTGACCGGAATCGAACCTGGGACCCTTCAGTCTGCCGACGCCCTATCCACTGAGCCAAACCGGTCAGGGCCCAACAAACTTGTTTAATTAAAATATTCATGTGACCAGACTGGCACACGCCCAAGGTCAGCAGCTCAACAATGTCACCTGTGCCCCAGTTCTACCCATCATATATATTATTGATTGATTTTATTTTATTATTATTTTTTAATATATTTTATTGATTTTTTACAGAGAGGAAAGGAGAGGGATAGAGAGTTAGAAACATCGATGAGAGAGAAACATCGATCAGCTGCCTCCTGCACGCCCCCTACTGGGGATGTGCCCGCAACCAAGGTACATGCCCTTGACCGGAAACGAACCTGGGACCCTTGAGTCCGCAGGCCAACGCTCTATCCACTGAGCCACACCGGTCAGGGCTTATTGATTGATTTTAGAGAGAGAGCGGAAGGGAGAGAGAAACATCAAGTTGTTGTTCCGCTTATATATGTATTCATTGGTTGCTTCTTTTTATTTTATTTTTTTAAATATATTTTATTGATTTTTTTACAGAGAGGAAGGGAGAGAGATAGAGAGTTAGAAACATCGATGGGAGAGAAATATCGATTGGCTGCCTCCTGCACATCTCCTACTGGGGATGTGCCCGCAACCCAGGCACATGCCCTTGACCGGAATCAAACCTGGGACCTTTCAGTCCGCAGGCCGACGCTCTATCCACTGAGCCAAACCGGTTTCGGCTGGTTGCTTCTTTTTAAAAAAATATTTTTATTGCTTTTGAGAGAGAGAGAAAGGGAGAGGGAGAGAGAGAGAAACATTGATGTGAGAGAGAAGCATTGATCAGCTGCCTCCTGCACGCCCTCCCCCCGCTTACCTGGGATGAAGCCCACCATCCAGGCATGTGCCCTGACCGGAACCTTTTGGTGCACAGGATGACACCCAACCGACTGAGCCGCACCGGCCGGGCCATTGGCTGCTTCCTGAACGTGGTCCTGACTGGGGATCAAACCCGCAACCTCGGTCATTGGGACGATGCTCTAACCGACTGAGCCGCACCGGCCGGGCCATTGGCTGCTTCCTGAACGTGGTCCTGACTGGGGATCAAACCCGCAACCTCGGTCATTGGGACGATGCTCTAACCGACTGAGCCGCACCGGCCGGGCCATTGGCTGCTTCCTGAACGTGGTCTTGACTGGGGATCAAACCCGAAACCTCGGTCATTGGGACGATGCTCTAACCGACTGAGCCGCACCGGCCGGGCCATTGGCTGCTTCCTGAACGTGGTCCTGACTGGGGATCAAACCCGAAACCTCGGTCATTGGGACGATGCTCTAACCGACTGAGCCGCACCGGCCGGGCCATTGGCTGCTTCCTGAACGTGGTCCTGACTGGGGATCAAACCCGCAACCTCGGTCATTGGGACGATGCTCTAACCGACTGAGCCGCACCGGCCGGGCCCCCGTTCTGTCCGTCTCATTGAGCTGCTATCATCTCCTCTTAGGCGACTCCCTCACGGTCCCAAGAGGACCGCCACACGCCCAGGACTGTCACATGCAGACAGCCTCTTCCCGAGGCAGCCAACACAGGTTCATTCTCGTCCTGGGCCCCTTTGGAAGAGGGAGGAAAACCTTCCAAAGCTCCAGCGACTCACTGCCCCTCAGGGAGACAGGCCCCTCGTACCTCGTTGGCCAGACGTGTGTCACGCGTCCACTGAGCCGTCACAGGGCCAGATGGATGAAACCCTGGGATTGGCTTACCTTCACCTCGCTAAGACTTGGCCGCTGCCGCCGAGGATTTGAGCTGCCTCCTGGGTGGCATGGCTGCTTGCAGAGAGAACGGTGGCGTGCTCTTACCCAGGATAAGGGGGGAATGGCTGCCGAGAACAAAGCAGGGAGCCCTGAACTGATGTGCCCGTTGTTCACACACAAAGGGATCGGCCAAGAAGACAAGTGGGGCTTAAAGGGAGCCCGCTAGCTGCTCTCCAAGCCTGCGTCCTGGGGACCATGCCTACCTGGAGGGCTCCTTTTTTTTTTTCTAGTTAGTCCGCCAGAGGGGGACCTTTCTTCCAGTTTTCACAAGACTGACATACAGGCTGGTAGCTGGCGTGCCTCCAAGACCAGGCAGCCTAGTGCCCGGGATGAGTATTGTTGAGAACTCGGAGCCCAGCATGGCCCCGTGAACTGGAGGGGGGTCCATTCATTCTCTCAGTCAGCGTTTGCGGCGGCGAACCTCACAGGGCCCCTGCTCCCAGGGGTGCAATAGCCAAACAGAGGGGCCTTCAGTGACGGCCGTTTATTGTTTCCCACAATCCCGCCGGCTGGCCGGTGGTCCTCGGCTGCATGCGACATCGGCCGAGGTCTCTCGCGCAGCTGCGTTTACGTGGAGTTCAGTTTGGAGCATCCTGGTCTCTGTGTGGCCAGTATAGCTTGGTCTTCCTCACAACACAGCTTTCAGCTTGTTTGCTGGAACGTTCACTCTTGGAGCCATCATCATCATCGTCGTCGTCGTCATGTAAGAAATCAAAGTATCTGAAGCCGCCATGCTGTGAGGAAGCCCAGTGTCACTGAGAGGCCACATGTCGGTGTCTGGGTCACAGTGTTAGCTGAGCCCAACTTCAGGTCGTCTCCTCGCAAGCATCCAATATGTCAGTGAGACGCCTGTCGACACTTCCACAGTTGTCCAAATCAGTTTATCACTTTCAGTGACCCAGTTGAGGCTCCCGACAGTGTGTTGTAAGGATAAGCCATATCTAAGTCCCCGGTTCACAGGTTCTGTGAACATAATATGACTGTTTTCTGCCACGAAGTTTTGCGGCAGCGAATATGCAGCCGCAGATAATGGGAACAACCAGAACAAGCTATTCTCTGTCTGCAGATACTTTCGTGACTTTGACATGAATGTGGCCAACATGAACTTCCCCATCTGACTTGAGATTGCATGTGCAAAGGTCCTGGGGCAGGGGGGCGTCTAGTCACACATGGGAGTGAAAGGGGGCCAGTGGCTGGAGCACATGGAGCCAGATGCGGACCGGGACGTTTGCAGGGTCAGACCCTTAAAGACCTGGGTACGCTGACAAGGACTTTGGGTTTATTCTAGGGCCAAGTATCAGAGGGTTTTAATTATGGAAGTGACATGATTTGATTTTCTGTGTGAGCATGCCCAGCTTCTACGTGGAGAAGAGGCTGTAGGGTTAAGGCAGGTTAAGGCAAAGAGACCCACGAGAAGGCTCCTGTGGCTTTCCCGCAAGCAGTCACGGTGGACCACGGAGCTGGTGGTGGAACATGTGACACGTCTCACGTCAAGGACCCATGAGAGGCTCTCGGAGCCGCTGCCCGTTTCGCTGTCCTGAGAGAGACCATCTGACGGCCTCCGCCGGGCTGATGTTTGAGTCAAGCATCTGCCAGGAGCCAATGAGCGGAGGCCCTGGGGAAGGCTCACCTGAAACACACAGGGCAGCCATGTTTCCTTCCAAGAGAAGGCGGTGAAAGAATGTGAAGACTGGGAACACGCTCCCAACATGGGAACACACCGGGGGGGAGAGTGTGCTGCTCACATTGCCGTGACCGAAGCAGGTCGTGTGGTCACACCCAGCTCCAGAGAGGGCCAGCAAGAGTGACCGGCCACACGCCCCACAATATTTATGCACGAGTGACTACCTCACATCCCCCACCGGCTGGCAGTCTCTCTCGGGGCCTCTTCTCCTCCCTTTTTTCTTCCTTCCTTCCTTCCTTCCTTTTCCTTCCTTCCTTCCTTCCTTCCTTCCTTCCTTCCTTCCTTCCTTCCTCTCTCTCTCTCTCTCTCTCTCTCTCTCTCTCTCTCTCTCTCTCTCTTTCTTTCTTTCTTCTTTTAAAAAAATTGCCTATAGAGAGGAAGGGAGAGATAAAAAGAGAAAAGAGAGAGAGAAACACTGGCTTGTTGTTCCACTTACTTAGCACCCATTGGTTGAGTCTTTTAAGTGCCCTGACTGGGGACTGAACCGGAAACCTTGGGGTATCGGGACGACGCTCTAACCACCTGAGCTACCCGGCCGGGGCCAGCGGGACTCCTTTCTTTTGGTTTGGTGCCCACAGAACGGGGTGCCACCGTACTCCCCAGCTAATAGGCTCTGTCTCAATAGCTATTTAAGTAACCCCCTTTCAAATTTCCAGTCTTATTTTATTTTTTTTATTTTTAAAAATATTTTGTTTTTAAAAATACATTTTTATTGATTTCAGAGAGGAAGGGAGAGGAAGAGGGAGATAGAAACATCAATGATGAGAGAGAATCCCTGGCCAGCTGCCCCCTGCACGCCCTGCACTGGGGATCGAGCCCGCAAGCCGGCCATGTGCCCTTGACTGGAATCGAACCTGGGACCCTTCAGTCCGCAGGCCCGGGACCCTCTATCCACTGAGCCAAACCAGCTAGTCCTTAAAATATGTTTTTATTGATTTTAGAGATAGAAGAAGAGAGAGAAGCATGATTGCTGCCTCCTGCACGCCGCCTACTGGGGATGGAGCCTGAAGCACGGGCATGTGCCCTGACCAGGAGTCAAACTGATGAATTCTTGTTGCATGGATAGCGCCCAGCCAGCTGAGCCGCACCGGCCAAGTTCCGTCTTCGCATAGATCGAATGCGTGGCCGTCAGTGGACCAGGTTTTGCTGTTAAAAACAAATAATCGTCCAACGTTAATTTATTAGTTTAGCATTCTCTCTCTTTTTAACGTATGTTTTTGAATGGATTCTACACGCTTCTAAATCAACACAGTGTCGTGGCCGGTTGTAGTTCCCAAAGACAGCCATGACCATATCTCGCCTTGATTCTAACCCCTCCAGCCTTCCTTCCCCG